ACTAAAAACATATCTAGCAGTTCTTTAGTCTTCCATTTAAGCTTATTAATTGGATTTATGACATTAAAACCTTGATATTTTAGATCATTACCTTTTGTTAAATATTGTTGGAGAACAAACATACGATGTCAACGGTATGACAAATCAAGTTTTATTAACCACTAGAAAAGACTTAAAATACAGAGTAAGCACAGTATAAGAATAACAAATGACAATGTGAAAGGACACAATGAATATGAATTAGGGTTGCATCTAGGAATGACTAACAAACTCCGCCTCAACCTTAATTCGTTATGTTAAATACAAATGTTTACAAAAATTTTCATGTTTAATCTTGCCTAAACTTTTGGTTAAACCATCAGCTATATTATTGGCTGTAGAAATATGTTTAATATCGATTTCTTTTAATTTGAGTTTATCTTTTATAAAATGAAATCTTATGTCTATATGTTTACTACGTTTCTTCGTTGCGTCGTTTGTAGCAAGAAATGCAGCTCCTTGGTTATCGCAAAGAAGAATTGTAGGAGTCTGGACAAATTCCTTAAATCCAAGTTCATTTAAAATACTTCGAAGAAACATCAGCTCCTTAGTGCCTTGACACATGGCTATATACTCCGCCTCCATCGAACTTAAGGCGACAACATTTTGTTTCTTCGCTTCCCATTGTACTGGCCCGCCACCAAAGAAGACTATAAAGCCAGTAACCGATTTTCGGTCTGTTGCATCAGAAGCCCAGTCTGAATCTGTGTAGCATAAAAAAGAATTATTTCGCACAAAGTGTAAACTTACGACGTCCTTATATTTCAAGTAACGAAGAACATTTTTTGCAGCAACTAAATGTTCCCTATGTGGATGACTGCAAAATTGTGACAATCTGGAAACTGCATACGCTATATCTGGTCGTGATATTGTGGATAAATAAATTAGTACACCAATTAAGGACTGATACCTCTTTGTATCTTCGCCTGCGCAATTGGGTCTAGTACATTTTTGTAATACACAGCCGCTAGCCAATGGAGTAGGGGAAGTGTTACAATCTGTCATACCCCAGTCATAGTGCTGTATGGGACCTCTATCTACAACATTTACATTTTCGCTTAGTTTGTTTACAATTCGATGCATTGACTCTCTTGAACTGCACGCAACGATAAGGTCATCGACATACACGCCTACTACGTTGATTTCGTTTTGCGTTCTTTTGTAAAACACGCAGCAGTCCGACTTGCATCTTTGAAATCCAATGCGTAACAAAATTTCGGTAATCTTCTCCGACCAATCTCTTCCAGCTTGCTTTAGCCCATAAATAGATTTCTTTAAACGACAAACGCTATTTGGCTTTTCTGGATTTTCAAATAATGGTGGTTGGCGCATATAAACTTCTTCTTTTAATTCACCGTTTAAATAAGCAGCTGTAATATCAATGTGGTTTACTAAGAGTGAATATTGAACAGACAACGCCAAGATTAACCTTATGGTTAAGTGACGAACAACTGGCGAGTATGTATCAAAATAATCAATTTGTTCCTTCTGTGAACAACCTTGAGCTATGAGCCGTGCTTTGTATTTTTCCACGCTTCCATCAGCTCTTTTCTTTGTAGTGTAAACCCATTTACAACCTATAATGTTTTTGTTTTTAGGAACGTCTACGAGTTCCCATGTGTGGTTGTATAAAAGCGATTGATATTCTAGCTCCATAGCTGTTTTCCATTGCTCAGCATATTCATGCTGCAAAGCTTCTTTTACATTGATTGGGTCACTCGACACACAAGTGACAGCATTGAGAACATTTCTCTCACGCTCAACAGCAAACCTCTTTTTACCAACACGACCGGTTGTAATAATTTTTGGTCTACCTCGTTTCACACGACCATCCGCATTAACAACTATACAATCATCTTCGAAACTGTTATCATCAGAAATATTTTCGTCTGGTAAACTATTAACATTTTTGGAATTAACAACAGCAATATCGTGTTCGTTCTCAGCAACTGCATTAGCAGCAACAACATCTTCGGCATCATTAACAGTAGCAATATCATTCACAGCAACAACATCATCAAAGTAATAATTCGTGTAGATTGTGGTTTGCCTTTTAAATTCGCTTTCATTTGTGCATGAACGATTAACATTAGTAACATTGTGTTCATTACAAATCGACTCTTCGAAAAATATAACATCTCTGGATATAGTAATAGATTTATTTTCGCTGTTGTATAGACGATAGCCTTTAACACCTTCTGCATAGCCCACAAATTTAAGCATTTTGCCTTTTGGAGCAAACTTTGACCGACCGCCTCTCCGCCTCGACCAAATATTTTCATGTGATTAACACTAGGCTTGCGACCGAAACAGCGTTGGTATGGAAGGGAATCGCTTAAAATTTTTGATGGTGATCTGTTTCGTACATATGTAGCCGTATTTACCGCCTCGGACCATAACGAGTGTGGTAATTTAGACTGCTCTAACATATAGCGTGACATTTCAACGATGCCCTTTTCATTCAGGTATCGCCTAAACGTCTCATTAACAAATTCACGGCCGTTGTCACTTCTAAGTATTTTAACTTTATAACTTGTTTGATTCTCGGCCTTTACAATAAAATCTTTGAACGCACTCAGAGCATCTGACTTAATTTTCAAGAAGCTAACGTGAACATATCTTGTGGAGCCACTTGCAGGAATGCTTCAAAAACTAATTTATTTTGCTTGCTTATAATCGTAGCTCTTCTGCCTCGAAATTCTACTTTATTTCCACTCTCTGTAATTTTTGATACAGACAAAAAATTAGAGTGTAGTTGTGGAACATAGAACACATCTATTAACGTAATGTCAGTATATTGTGATTTCAATATTACATTACCAATGAACTTTTATCATCTCGCCCGTTGCGAGCATTACTTCTTCGTCACAAACTCTCAAATTCACGAAGTAAAATTTTTCACAGCACATATGGCTCCATGCACCGCTATCCAATATAAAAGCGTCTCTCTGCTCAAACTGTGATTTTAAACTTAAAATCACGCCATTAACTTTTTGCTAATTTTTGTTTTTGCATTGCGCACTTATATGACCGCGTGTTCCACACGTGTAGCATCTTACATTTCTAGGTTTAACATAACCTCTAACACTTTTGTTGGGCCTATCTTTTGCTGAATTCACTGCCATTACACGCTCTGATTCAAAATTATCTGAATACTTATCTTGATAGTTAACTGACCGCCGCTGCTCCTCTTCTAGAAACTTACTCGATAAGCTCTCGATAGCTACGACGAAGTTGTCCATTTCTTCTGGCAATGAGCATAAAGGCATGATGGATAACAAATCATCTGGTATCGTAATATATAACTCGCGAAGATTATCAACGATGGAGCAAAATTGATTTGTCTGCTGCCCAAATTTCTCACTCTGGCGGAATTGAAACCGCACAAGCTTTTTGAAAAGACATACTTTTTTAGCAGGACCACTTGCCCTGTATACGTTGTGAAGTTTCTCCCACGCTGATTTGGAAGTCGAACAATTTTTTATATGTAGCAGCTCCGTTGTTTTAACATTCAATGTAATTAAGGCCAATGCCTTACTATCAGCTTTCATAAATGCGACCTTTTCGGGACCTGGAGCTTCCGGACACGTGACAACTACTGTGTATCAACAATCCACGGTGATCAAAAGACTCTTCATCAGGACACATCATGATGAGAAATTTTTGCCGTCCAATTTGTCGATGCTAATATTCATTTTAGTTACTTTACACACTTAACGGTGGGACTGGGCCAATAACCCTTGTTAGATATTGTTGGAGAACAAACACACGATGTCAACGCTATGACAAATCAAGTTTTAATAACCACTATAAAACACTTAAAGTACAGAGTAAGCACAGTATAAGAATGATAAATGACAATGTGAAAGGATACCATGAATATGAATTAGGATTGCATTTAGGAATGACTAACACCTTTATTGGTCTATTATGTTTACTCTCGTAGCTAAACCAAGGATAGATTAGATAAGTATTTTGTTATTGTGCGATAATTGTTTGCACCGAAGACATTAAGTTTGTAGGCGCCGGTGTTCAAAAAAGTTGTTATTTATTAGATCTATAATATTAGAATGTAATTTCTTAAAATCCTTTACCTCSTTTGTTATAATAGGAGGTGGGCGGTGGGTTTTAATATCATTTTTGGCTGCCTGCTCTTTATTTTTATTTTTCGAAGGGCTGACAATTGTTGGAGAAGTATCAGCTTAGCGTTTTTTTGAAGAGCGTTTCTTTTTGAGTATCCACTCAGTTTCTTTAGCTAGCTCGTCTTCATCAGTTTCGTATATTTGATCTACATTCAAACTAGAAGATTTTGCTTCAACACTCACATGCTTGCTTTTACTAGATTTTAGTTCTTCGCTTTCTCTTTTTAATTATATGTTTTCTTTATAAATATATTGCTTCCAAAGTTCTAAGCCTCTTACTCTAAATGAGCTGAGCCTGTTTCTCGGCGTCACCTCATGAAGGGGTTCAGCCATTTTTATTTTGTAATGATTTATCTACTGGGTACTAAAAACCTGTCGTTGGGTCGATAATGCAGTTTGAACAAGAAGTTTTTTTTTATTGACCAGTATGGCACCGGTGATTGCAATTGGAAATTGTTAGAACAGAACAGCTGATTTAATATACGCAGAAATAACGTGTAAAAGAAACAGCTTATGTGCACTTTTTTCCCCCGCGAAAATTATTTATTTGAGTGTTTACTTSATTTAYTATTGTTTAAAAAACAAAMTTCGATTAAAAATGTGATTTGATTTGAATGATTTCCAATTGCTWCCACTAATCCAAGGAAATCGATGTGAAACGTGTKGACAMCATCAATGCGTCCCACGGCGCACACACCCACGAATTACTACAGATTAGTTTATTTGCAWATTGTCGCAATTGCGGAGCATACTGGATGTTGACCGCACTCAATGATAGTAAACTAGTAAGTATTTTGAAATGAAGTAGAAATTATAAAGTCAAAAATAAGATCAATTACCCCCAAGGAGGAGAATGGGAAGAAGAGAGGACTTATTCACACAGTAGGCACAACTWACAAATGGTTATTTGGTATAATGGACGATGAAGGTATGCAAGATATAGAGGAACATCTAAAGATTGTAGAAGAAAATAGTCGCAATGAGACAATCAATTCAAATAAACAAATTTCGATAAACAACCATTTTAATAATCCCACTTCCCACACATCGCATCAATCAGTGTTAATAATGTCACGTTTTGGGCCGGTCGACTGGCGACCAAGATCGTATTATATGACACCCTTAGACTCTTTCCTGTGAGGATATCTAAGGACTATGGCAACAATCCCTTTTCGAATCAGGCCTTAGAGCAAAGCATCTCGCTTATCGTTCGCCAGATACCAGTCAAAATGGCCGAACGAGACCATCTGAGACGTAGCCGCGACCAACATTTGAAGAAGATAATCTCCAAAAAATTTCAAATAATGATAATAAATATTTCCCATTAAATTTAAGGTTTCTGTATTTTTTCTTTAGTAGGGAACCTAGAAATAGATCACTCTATTTAATTCTGGGTAACAATTGGTAACTTTTTCTGTTTGGATTTGAGGAGAAAAATTTCATTATCGAGTAAATATTGCTGCACCAGATAGAAAGTAAAGTTTGGCATTTGGAATTCAACCAAAAATGATGATATTTGCGAAATTTCGGAACAGTCGATCTGATGTCTTTTTGATAAATTGATACTGTGCTGAAAATGAAAGTTCAAATTTACCAATTGTTGTTTTTATATTATCTATATGTACCCGAAGAATTAGTGAAGACTACTGCAAATACAATAACTTACTAAATAGAATAAAAGTTGGAGTTGCCGTGAAAAACAATAGTGACCCTTGCGCAGCTTTGTATTGGATATTTTAGTAGGTTAAATTCCTACTTGTCCAGAATAGACCCCGATATACCTAAGATATGTCCAGCGTACAATGAGTCTCCGCATAACACTGGCCACCTCTTTGCATGCCCCTAACCCTTCTCCCCAATTTCTTCAACAACTGGTTCGACGCACCGGAAATTACCCGGATTTTATACCGCCAATTAGTTTAAGTTTGTCTTCACTGGAGCAACGGCTTGCAGTAGAATTGATCTGTATCCTCCTGACTCGTGCTGGCATTGAGTCCAACCCGGCCTTGGAAGAGTTTTTCTGCTGTGTTTCCGCCAAAAGGCTCCACCCAAACTTCATCTCGGTCAGGTGTAATACATGCATTGGATGAAGCCGTTTTAAGATCTACTCAGGCAAGTTATATGGTCCCATGTTGCCAACGCACTAATGCGACCTTAGCCTCTACGGCTATGCAACCTGCACCTAGTTCCCGTAATGCGTCAACACTCCACCCGAGTGGCAAACAAGGGCCATCCATGGTCCATAGGAGCTCAAACATTCAACAAACATAACCTACAAAACGATGCAATGCGTGATTAGTTTGGATATTGCGTTCAACAGTTATAGACGTATAAACATAGAGTTCACTAACGCCGAAATTCGAGCTAGTTTAAAGTTTTCCTTCGTTATACCCACATCCGCCAGAGGGGGGTATTATGAAGTTGCCGTCTAGATGGAAACAGATTATCGAACGAATAAAGAGCAGAAAAGTGGAAGTGAGACAACCTAATATCATCACCACTTTATTAGGTATTTTCCAACGTAATATATATAGCCCCCAGTTGAATGTTGGTCTATAGGATATCGCCCGAATATTGCCCGAATATCTAGAATTTCGTGGGGAAAACCGTTTGGTACTAGGCGATTTTAACGCGCACTACGATCTTCGGTATTCCTGAATGCCAACGTCCCCACCAGAATTATGAGCACCTGTAATAACTCGCCCGATATTACCATTGCTAACGGTGGTCTGATAAATAGCATAACCCGGCGACCTAAGCTAACTCTCACTTCGAATCACCTGCCCATAATTATCTCTACAGAGAAACCTTAAGGCACTCCCCCACTAAGTCCACGGCGACCATATTTACATACTGAACGAAGGAGTACAAACTCGACCTTAANGGGAATGTTTCGCCTTCTCACTTTAGCTCACCTTCAAACGGATGTTCTTAGGCTACCCAGAGGATACTCGGTCAAGGACCGGAAGTCGTGAGCTGCTTGAGTCATATGTAAAAGAATCGTTTCTGGCCACTCCCACGTGAATGGTGATCAGAAAACTTTCCTCATTTGCGTGAACTTCTACACATGACTCCATCCTC